TAAACAAAAAGTCATCTCCTCTCCGCAAATGATGTTTAAAATTTCTACCTATCATCATCAGAGCACAATCCGTTAGAAGAATAGCACAAAAATAGCCAGTCCATGATTCTTCTTGGCTGTTAAGTAATTCCCACTATAGGTCACATTACCTGACTGGAAGCCAGACTATATACAATTCTGAGCACCAAATAAACCAAATTCACCATCTCTGCAACCAAATAAAAGTTCACAGACAGATGAATGAATTTGTCCTAAAGCCAGTCCTATCTTGCAACAGAGGAGTAGCCCCTAGAAAAGCATCACCTCTGGGAGAGCAGAAATTCTAGCCATTTTCGTGCAATATTTCCTAACATCCTACGGAAAATAGAAAACATACAGTATCTATCAAAATACAGTACAGCACCTACAATACTGATGAGTGTGCTTTTGAAAGCAAACTGCCCTTTATGCTAAACCCACATCCCTCCGGCATCATAATGTTTCATGATAAACTGGGAAAGCATGAGGAACTCAAATTCTAAAGTTGCAAAGCAAAACCTGACAAAGCCAGTATTTTCTCCTTTACTAATTTAAAAGATAGACAATTTAATCTGGCTTCTTTTATAAGCACATAAAAGAGCTAAGAACACAGGCATGCAACAAGCTTTCTACAGTCTGAAGTATAAATACTACAGAAATAATTCAAGCAATTAGGGTCCTGAACCTTCAGAAATCACTAAGATTCTTCTCCCTTGCTGTAACTTTCACTTACTTCAGATTCACTTCTACAACAGCTCTGAGAGTGTAACCTGTAAAGACTCTACAGCCATATAGGGGAGCAAAGTCACCTATACACTATCAGCTTGAGAATCAGACCAACTTGCACTTCCTGCCAGACCGGATAGGACACTAATCTACATTCATGCAAGTTAGATGAAGTGCAATACCAAAGACTTAACCGGAACTACTTCTGTAGAAAAGCTCTAACATATACTTAGTTCTAGCAAGTCAAGTAATCCTGTGACTATGGGAAGCATGTCAGCTGCCTAATCCCATTTCTACATATTCTAAAACATCTTGGATATCCACAAAAGACCCACATTTTTACAGCAACAGCTTGCAGCTAACCAAGACACCACACGGCATCTTAAATGTCACTATAAACTTGCATTTGAATACTGAATCCCACCCACAGAAAGCCCTCACACAGGTAACCTTACAAACATGAGAGGGTTTTCATGATCATGCACTTCCACCTTGTAACTGAACAAGATGCACAATATTCTGATCAAGTTTTTATCCATGGTGCCTTTTTTTTCATTCAAATACAAGTGCACCTTTTCAATCCTACCTTAATTTGTACGGTATCGACTACCTACACTTGCTGAAGGCTTCATTGAAGCCAAAGCAAGCAACCCAAAAGAACTCAGCATGGAACCGAGCTGAAACAAACTCTGCAGTCGCTCAGAAATAATTGTTTCATACTTTCAGACAAATGTTATAGTCCTCAAACATTTTTATAGACACACAAAGGTTTATGAAATTTACAGCTTCGCTTAAAAACTAAAACAAACATAAACCTGCAGAACGCATTAGAACAGAAAAAAATAAGACTAAAAAGATAAGTTAATTCTTCTCAGCAGTTAATGTCACTGCAAAAAAATGGAACAAAAAACTAAAAACTGTAGTTGAGTTACTGCCAAATTATTAGTGTAAGTGAAATTTACACTGCATGTCAAGAGACTTTAGAACCTTTGTACTTGCACCAGCTCACAAGACTACACGTTCCCCATTTCATGAGGAAAAAACAAACAAACAAAAAAAAACCACCACCAACACAGCAAAGACACAGCCACCTCGGAAGAGATTCAAGCTAATTTCAAGAATGTATTTGTCTGATTATACAAGACTTACTTTGTCCTGGCATAGCTCATTCAAGAACAAATTGTGAGGGCCCTGAGCATGGCTGAATCCCTTCCAGGTGCTCAGACTTGCCTCATCACTATGAGCTTGCCTAGTGATCATAGGACTGTCGGCTGACCCTGGTTACGGTCACTGGATCCGATTCCGACCCCGATAACATCCTGGCTTGACCTCAGACCTGCCTCCTCACTATGGGCTTGTCTGGCACTCTGGACTCCTGCCAGACCACAGGCACATTCACTGAACATGCTCTGCTCCCCTTGTCTGGGGGCTTTGGGACTGCACTGCTTGTCCGTGATGTCCCTGTCTCAACCTGCCTCGCTGCCACCCTCAGCTCCCAGCTCGCTTTCTCTGAAACGGCACCCTGTGCTTGCTACTCCGACACAAACAAACCAACTGAATGAACTCAAAGAGAACTTAACTTAGTGGAAAAAAATGTGACAAGCACTCCTCAGAGAGAAATAAAACAGCTTTCATTATTAGACCAGCTTTCTTTTGCAATAACTGAGGTTGCACCAAATGCATATTTCATGATAATGCTGCTACTACTACCTTCTCAAATTATAGAAGCACTATCACATCTTCATTTGCATGGTACTTTGATGGATTCTCCTCTACACAACTTAGCCACCATCTTGCAGAAGCATTTTAACATTAGTATGTTATCTTTTTTAAATTTCCACTTGTCCTCCAAACAAAAAAATACCTCTTCATTTGGATGGAGCATCCATCCAGAAGACAGTTACTTATACACGAATAATATGACTTCAAAAGCATATCAACCTACGGATTTATTCTTTTTTATTATTTTAAAGTACCACATAAAAGCACAGAGGCCAAAAAGACCTTATCTCAGATCAACATTGTTCTATGAACAACCTGAGTAAGCTAATACTTCAAACAAGAAACTCCATTTTACAAATTGAATTCTTTTAACTCAGGCAGATACCAAAACGGAAACATGATTTAGACTTCCAGAAAAAATAACTACCCAAAGGACAAAGCAAATCAGATTTCTTTTTTTTTTACCTTTATCTTCCAAACATTTTTTGATTCAACATCAAACAAGAATCTCTGCTAATTTACCAAAAAAAGCACAGAAATAGTTATAGAAATACTTACAGAGGGGTTACACAAATTTAGAAAAAATGAAGTCTTTTAAGGAAAAGAATCATACATGAGACTCTCCTCTTTTCTGTACCATACTGATCTGCAGTTTTACATAAGCACATAAAGTGACTGCATATGTAGAGAAAATAATCTCATCATCTGTAAAATTATCAAGTACAGAAAAATAAAAATTTCAAACAAATGTGAATAAGGCTTCAAACAATATGACTTCGGCTGCCAGTTTCCATCTGGGATATATTATTTCTTAAAACACATACAGCTAAACTGAAGTTCAGACATGGGTTAAAATCCCACTGATTTAAAATTTGTTATGTTAATGAGGTGGCCATCCAGGTTTATCCCTTCAAGTAAATATCTAGAAGAGTAAAGAAAAGCAAAATTACATTGTGTGGACAGTAAAATAAGACAGAAGTTAACATATATTTGGAAGAGAAAAAAAGTGAAAAAAGAATACTAGTAAGAAAAATTTTAAAGCTTCCCTAAAATAGCCACTGCAAATAAAACCCACAGCAATGCTCTTTAGTGGTGGTCTTCAAGTTCTGGAGACCTTTTATCACGATGCATTGCAGATGAAATGCACAACATGGATTTTGCCCAACAGCTACAACAGATCTTTCCCTGTGAGGAAATCTGAATAAACTAAGCAGTGTTTTCACAAGATACCTGTGGTGGAGCTGCATCTCCAGGTTAGGTCTCAGAGACACAACACAGTGCCTGGCACCTGGACTCATGAGCAATGCAAAGGCATTTATATTGACTATACCATTTCCAATAACCTTAACCATTCTAGGAGCTTACACATATAAAAAAAATATAGTATTCTCATCAGTAACATAGAAAGGAGAGGAAAATCTGACATTCTTTTGTTGCTGAAGACATATTCTAAGACAGTGATACCTTTTTGATATTTTGCATCAAAAACTATTTAAAAGAGGGCACTCCCATTGGTGCCAAACTTTTGTTGGCGTCAAGCTCATCTTCAGTGCTGCTCTTGATCTAGGTCACACCACTATGTAAAATATGAAGGAAAGAAAAACCACAATGATTACCTTAAAGAAGGATTTTGCAAAATTTTATTATGAAAAATAAACTAGGGGGATTTAGACAGATTCCAATGAATAGTCAAAAATAATGATTTGTGTTTTCAGCAGCTACCTTTATAAAAACATGCTTAAACTATAGCAGTTTAATTTTTAATGGGTTTAATTACTCCAGCTGAAACTAATGAGCCCAAACTCACTAAAATATAAAATTCATGTTCTTTAGAGTCACTATGATATGAAAGAGGGGCAAAAAGAAAAGAAAATTTAAAAAGAATACATTTCACATTCACTAAGATGGTTACAGGAAGCACATAAAGAAGTTAAACTGGACTCCTATAGCAAAGGAAGTACAGATAAGAGAGAAAGTATCCAAGGAGGGCAGCTCATCTTGGCAGTTGATGCTGGAACAGTGGGTAAACGCAACAGTTCTCAGCTGTGAACATAACAAGAGTCCAAAAACCAACAAGCCTTAGATGCCAGTTTATCATCTGGGAGGAATTTGTGCTCAGCCCTTGCTAAGCTGCGCAGTTAAGAAATAATTTAAAGAAGCAGGTAAGCTTTAAGTGGGAGGAAGAGCAAGGAGAGGGAATTCACTGGATTATCTGGGAACAGATTAGTCGAGCACAAGGGGAAAAAAAAAAAAAAGAGTCCTGTGGTTAGTGGTTATAAGTAAGCACGCATTCACGCAGCCTAACTGCCGACCAAATTAAACAGCCTTGCTCTCAGGCTGCCACACCTGAACGCGGTTTGCGTTTTGCGACCAGGTGAGGCAACACGCGCGGCGGCCGCGGCCGAGCCCAGGCCCCGCGGGTCCCGCTCCCCGCGCCGGCCCCAGCCCGGGGCTGCCNCGGGGGCCCGGGCGCCGCGAGGCGGCTCCGCTGCCGCCCGGAGCGGGGGGGCCGGTTGCCGCCGCCCCGGCCTCACCTTGAAGGGGTTGTTGAGGTCCGGGTCCGCGAAGGGGTTGCTGTCGAAGTCCGACATGGCGGGGCAGGCGGGCGCTGCACGGCCGGGCGGCGGCTCTGCGCGCGGCGCCCCCACGCAGGCGTGCGGCACGCACGGAGGAGGCGGCCCCCCCCGCCCCGGCCTGGCGGCGCCGCCGCCGCCGCTGTCCCCGGCCCCGGAACCCCGAGCCCGCCCCCTCCGCCACCGGCGAGCCGCCGAGCGCCAACCTCCCAAAATGGCCGCCCCGGAAGTGACGGCGCGCGGCGGGGCGGCTCCACTGGGCGGTGCTACCACGGCCGGGGGGAGGGGCGGGGGGCGGTTCCACGGCGGGGTGGGGGCGGCGCGTTGTGCTCGTCACCAACGGCCATGCGCGGTGGCGCCGTGGGCGGGCGGTTGTGACCGTTGCTAACGGCCGGGCCGTGCCATTGAGGGCAGGTTGCACTGGTTACTAACGGCCGGCTCCCGCCACGGGCGGCAGATTGCACTGGTTACTAACGGACGGCGCGCGCCATGGCGCCGTGGGCGGCACTGCCCGTGCCCCTCGCCCCTGCTCTGCCTTTGTTCCCGAGATGAATCAGTGTGCGCCAAGCGTGTGGCGTCCCGGGTGGCACCCACAGAGGTGGCTCAAGGGCGGGCGCACGCTGAGGCTCGGCCACGCGGCCCCAGCACCTGTAGCAGGGCCTGGAGCCGGCACACAAGAGACAGGGCGAACAGGGTAAACGTGTGCGCGGGCCGGCTCCAAACGCTTGTGTTATTACAAACTTCAATAAATCTCCGTATATCACTACCCCGAGCCTGGCCCTGGCAGTCGTTTTGGTGGTGATGGTCCATCAACAAGCCAGTAATATCCGCCCCGAACACAGGACTCATTTGGCATGGATCAGCAAGGAAAGCAATAATTGCCTTGGGGCTTGGCTGTGATTTATGCAGAAGTTTCTCAATTACTCATGAAGGACTGTCAGATATCAGATGCTATGCAAACGGCACAAATCATGAAAGCAATTCTCCTAAGCAACGAAACACTTTCAACTTTTTGTTTCTGTGAAGTGTAAAATACTTTATACTTCAAAAAACACAAGGACAGCTGTTGTGCGATGAACAAAAGTGTATTACAGTATTATTAGTCACCGTCATTCATACACAGTGACAGCAAATTAAATCATGTTGTTTTCCAATATTCAGTATCTCGTAGCTCAATGATAAATTTTGATAGTTCCAAAGCTGTATACCTTGGCATTTCTGTATTTGTTCTTTTTTCAACTATACACAGATGATCACTGCATAGATGAAGGAATGTATGGCTGAAAAGAGCACCTTTTCTTGTGTGGCTACTGATGCTTCACATCATGGACGTAGCAACATTTGTCTGATAATTTATACATTTCTGCATTGTGAAAGGGAACCTGTTATTTTGTATGACTTTCAAGACAACAGTGAAACTACATTAGACGCTCTGGGAAAGGATAAAGAGTATATTGCAATCAAATGTCAGGAGCTTTGACAGTGCATCATTAGTTGAAACTAATAATCTTAACTTGGGAGATAGCACTGACTACCAGCTAATAAAAATGAGAATTAATATATGCTTTCAGCTCATTGCACTCTGCTTAAAAAAAATGGGTGATACATTTATGTCATCATTTGATGCTGAGACTTATGTGGTGTATAATAGCAGTTACTTTTGCTCATTTTCCAAAAGAATTTGAGTATTAGAAATTAGTATTTGATTTGTGAAAGATAAACTCCTCTTTCCACCCCCTCCCAGCAATAAACTCTCTCTACAACCAGCTTTCCAAATAGTAGACTTTACTTTTATGTGTTAGGAGAGAATTGCTTACCCACAATCAACTCTTTCTAATTCTGTTACAGGAAATGTCTCATAAATAGAACAATGTGATTTTGCATATACCTTATAAGTAGTATATTAATTGAAGAACCACTCCTAGCAGAGAATGGATAACATTGTTTAGATACAAATATCTCCCATCTAAAACTTCTTTAACCTCATGGAAGTGGTTTTATGCTGTGTGAGGAGTATTATACTCTGAGGTTGAATAGAACATAGATTTCAGAAATCTCATGTAAGGAAATACCCTAACATTATTCCTAGTTCTCTCAGATTTCTATTTCTTGTGAAATGTATTATATTTATGTCAGCCTGAGACAGTGGGGAATAGTTCTTAGTGAAGCCTAATCAGCTGGGAGGAAAATCTATCTTTTTTTTTTTTTTCAGTACAAAATGCTAGATATGCTGCAGATAACTGAGTGCTCCCTTTTTGTCAGCTCCTTGTCCTAGTAAAGTAGGACACAGATTTAAAGAGCATGAACTTTGAGAAAATAAAAGAAAATCCTTAAAAATAAATTCTAGTAACAACTGGAAAGAAGAGTTTTTTCTTTCACAGGGTGGAGATATCTCTGCAGCTCCAAAGGAAAGCAAAACTACTGCGGGGGGGGGGGGGAAGGCAGGGGAAAAAAAAAAAAAAGCAGAGATGAGAATGAGTGCTGTGCTGTAGAAGTTAGACAAAATTACTTGCATGGATGTAATGACTAGCAGAAATCTAGAAATAAATCTAGAAGAAATAAAGAGAGCACTACAGTAACAGAAATGCAAGATTATAGTTTAAAATTAGATTATGAGCAGATACTAGTTTTAAACCTTGTTGAAAGTCTAGACAGAAAACACCCAATTTGTTAGGTAAAACTTTAAACGAAGCTTTTAATTCAAAGCAGCTTTTGGAAGGACTGAAAGGTGTCAGAATGCGTAAGATCATATACTTCCTCTTAAGTTTTACAGCAAAGATTTACTTGCAAAATATCAGAAAGAAGATAATGAGAGAGAACATAGAAATGTAAAAAGTGAATATTCAAATATGAAACTCAAAATTTGTGGGTTTTTTTGCCCTAATTTCAAAGAAATAAGAGAAGTATGAAGAGAGGAGAAATGGCAGAAATCACTGCAGCATTCAGAATAGCAAAAGTCTGCTATATGTGGATTCCCATTTAACCTCCCATTCTATTTCTTACAATCAGTGAAGCCCTTGTTCCACAAGGTAATAAATCCAGTTTCCGTGTGCTTGATTGCTGAATCAAAATGCCTGTGGCTCCATCATGCAAAGTGTTGAGCCCATTAAGCTTGCTCCAAACACTCCCCAGAGGCAGCTTTGGTCTGACTGTGTCCTGGGCGCGGGGTCCTCTGCCACTCTGCTGCCGCCCACCCGCTCTCTCCTCTGATCACAACCTGCACAGGCAGCTTGCGGCGACAGCACATGAGCAGGGCGAACCTCCAGCTCAAGCCTAAGCACTGCAGCAGCTGGTGAAGCCCTTCCTAGGAGAAATGTGACCTCCTTGTGAAGCCACACACCTACATTTCCCTTTTATATATTGCAGAACTGTAGCAAAATATTTGGAATAATTATATGTGGATAATTTGACTCTTTCTTGGTAGGAAAAGGATTCCCGGGGCAAGAGCTGAATCGTAGCAAGGATTGATATGGAAATGACCGGGTTGTGGTCATTTTGCCGAGGATCAGTCTAGTGCTGCCAGTTATCTCATGCCTGTGTCTCCACACTCCACCCCACTCCATTGCTCTGACTGAATCTGCCCTGTATGCCACAGTTCAGACTCACACTGACATGAGGACAAGCGCATCCAGTTGCTGTTGGGTGCCAGCAGCATCAGAACTGGGCTTCAGTTTACAGTAGACAAGCAGCGTATCATCCTTTTTTTCTTGGAATAACAAACTTCATTAATAGACACACTAAAGGCTTGCTGTCTAATAAAAAAAAAATAGGTCATCCTTGGCCTCAGCAAAGAATCATTTTGGCTGACCTAGAAGGAATATCATGTAATTCCGAATAAAGTTTACATATGAAACGTGAAAACTGTCCCCAGTGGAGCCATCAGTCTCTGCTGCTTTTCATATCCCCTTATTCTGCTCCATGTGTCCTGGAAGTGTAGAAATAAGACTTCTTGTTGTCATCAGGAAACCCATCTTTCACTCTCCTTCATTTCCCCGTGGACTGATTTTTAGGCCTCATCCAAGGATGAGAACCCCTAGTCCTCCCACGTCAGGGCACAGGGGACACATCCAGGCACAGCATGCTATCCCCAGCCAGCAGTCTTCACTTCTCTCCCAGACTGAACATTCCTGATGTTTCCCATTCCCCAGACAGCAGAGCACTCACTGTGGGATCACCATATGCCATTAACACAAAGCCCAACTATCACCAGTGCTGGCCAAGGCAACAGGATATGACAGAAGATGAGTTTTTCTGCTGGAAGAAGAGTCCTTTGTCTATCTGGGGACAGAACAGTAACAATTTCACTTTCCTGTCGTAAGCCTCTATGGACGAAGCCAGGCCCTGTAACAAATGTTATCTTCAAGGGACTGGCGAAGCTCCCGCGGCAGCAAGTGCGTGGGAACAAGGAGTCGTAAGCTACAGGGATGCGTGAGGGCGCAGCAAAGTGAACACATGCTGCTTGGCAGTGGGGAGAGCGCTGCAGGCGGCTCTGGAGCGAAGCCAAGTGGCACGAGCAGTCTCTACTGCATAGTGCATATCTTCCTGCTCCAACTCAAGAAGCGGTGAAGAGCTGAAGCTAAGGCTTGTGCTAAAAGAGCTAGTTCAGGCAGTGAGCATCTCCTCAGTATCCCGTCTCTTCCTTTGCTGTATTGTTTCTTGTTGTAGGCACCTATCTGTCTTCTGCAGTCCTCTTTCTTGCACCTCCCCAGCTCAGGACTGACCCTCAGATAAGGTAGCAGAGGGGGAATTCAAGTTTTCATCTTTCATCCACTGTACAACAAAACCATGATTTGGGACCAAGTCTTTCATTAACAGAAGTGGTCCTGGATACTGCAGAGTTTTCAAATTAATTATAATTTTATACGCCCCAATAGCAGGGAATAAGGCAGGACATTCAAAGCATCAGGTACAGTGTGGTAGCTCCTTCTACCTGGATAGATTTAGCCCAGACTGCTGATATTGCAGATACACCTAAGTATTGTGAAAGGCCTGAACAAGTCACTTTTCCAGATTAGCTAGAAGGTTTTGAAAAGCATCAAACTAGTCATGTTCTTTGTGCTTA